TGTTTTTTTTTGATTTTTCATATAACCAATTTTTTTTCCTTCCTTTTAGGGTCAAGTGCAAACGCAACACACTACAGCATAAGAAGATAATACCCTCGCAATAACTGAATTGCCTTCTGTAATATTGTGCTGCTTCTGTTACCCTGTATTGTGTTTATTGTGGGACCAACATCCGCCCCGACAACAATCTGACATGAAGAAGCCACATCAAGCAGTCTAGATTTTCTGTATATCAGCTTTCTTTCTTTTTTTTTTTTTTTTTTTTTTTTTAAATCAGCTGTCAATGACATGTACATTATGTGGATTTCTAATTTAATTGATTAACTTATACGTATTTATCAAGAGGGTGAAAGGAATTGTATGTATCATGGACTGGTAGACCTCAACAGGAGGCGGAGTGATTGTCTCGTCCTTCCGTTTGCTGCGGCGTTACAGACTGGACATATCATATGTAGAGACCTATTTTTGTAAAGGTAGAAGTTTTGAATTTTATGGGTATTTTGTCAAAGTACTGAAATAAATTTCATCATTTTAACAATTTCACCAATCAAGACTGATCATATGCGGGAGACAACCCAAATCCAGATTGTGCGGAAGATGAAATTTGGTAAACACGGCACAAATAGAGCTCGGCAGAAGATGTGTGTGTTGTAGATTTTAAAGGAATTTGCTTTATTTTTCTCAGATTTTCTGAGCCCTGTGTCTCTGTGTCTGGAAAGCCATCTGCAATGTTTTTGCTTACATTTGTGAAATATCTATATTTTTGGGGGTTTTTTTGCAGGCAGGTGCACATATAGGACCTGGTCAGGGCATGTTTTATACTTTGGCAATGTCACTGCTGACCACAAGATTGGGATGATGTAAAGCGACCTGCCAGCTGTTACATGTACCCATGTCATATACCTGCTCTCACATAAATCCAATGCCTTGTCTTCAGCTTCATAGGGCTCAAGTAATGGACCACTCTAATGTGCAGATCTTAAAGAGTTTGTTGACCTTTTCATTTTTTTTTTCCTGAAAAAGGTGAACAAACACCCTCCCCACCCCGTGCTGTACTTACCTCCATTGGTGATGAGCTGTCAGTGCCTACGCAGCCAGTGTAGCAGTCCAGAGATTTTATATTCCCATTCCCCTCCCTCCCTTTTTTTTTTTTTTTTTTTTTTTTTTTTTTTTAGCAGGGCTTGCGGGACAGATCAGAACAATGCTGTGAGCCTGCACTGACCAATCAGAATCTCTGATCCATTCCGCAAGCCCTGCTGAACGAAGAGTGGGGAATTCAAACCCCAAGACCGCTACCCTGGCTCCATGGGCACTGAAAGCATAGCACCCACAGAGGTAAGTAGAGTGGCAACCAGGGAGGTGGAGAGGGTGTTCATCTTTTTATTTGTTGGAAAAGGTGAATGTACCCTTTTTTTTTTTTTTTCCTGGGAAACCTGCAGGATGGCCCTTTTCCTTCCTTTCAGAAACTCACTATTGGTCTTCCTCAAATTGGGCAAACCAACCTTTTATCAAAATCACTGATTTTGTGATTTTGATTTATGGGTCAGCTTTAATAGTTCACTTACAAGTGTATGTCTAGCTAAAACATTTGTTATTTAGTTCTGGATTGAGTGGGCAAGAGTTAAGCCCGATATTTCATCCTAAAATTGGACCTAAGAATAATCGGACGATTTTTGCTGTGTTAGTGGGTCAATGGCACCAGCCGATTTTTCATGGTTCCTCCCCTTTTCGGTGATCAGGAATGTTGGAAAATTCGCGAAAAATGACCAATTTTTTACTCAATGATGGTCAAATCACACGATCGGTTTTTTTTCCGAAAAGAATATGCGCATGAGCCGTGACCTGAAAGGAACAGAAGTTTCTCCTGTTATATGGGGTGAACTTTATGACTTGGTTGGCCAATTTTCGAAATCATTGATGGCACCATCAGATTACTGAGCAAGCGACGTTTTCGAACGAAAAATCGTTCGGAATTCGAACCATGTATGACCTGCATTAGACTCCCTGACAAGTTTTGTTTTTTTGTTTTTATTTTGAGTAGACCAGCAGTACACCAAAAAAAGTTACGTGCACAATTTTCTGTAAGCCAGTGCAGTGCAAGGCATATGTGCATTGGTAGCCTACTGGACTGGGATGCTATTTTAAACAGATGCATGGTGATAACGCATTTTTCTGTGACATATATGTGAAGCTAGCCTCAGAGTAAATTTTTCCTGAGAGGAAAGTTGCTGGCCTTTTGAAAATACTGTAGTTAACTGGATGCTGAGCCTCTGGCTTTAGCAATTTGAGTTCCCAACTCAAAAAAAAAAGATGTAAGTCAGGAAATTCAGTTAGCTCAGAACTTATCCGCATCCTTGTTCTGGGTGCAACGCAATAAAGCCAGAGGGTCAAAACTACAGCCAGGCATCTGGCATTTGCAGTAAGCAGCCTGCATTTTTTTTTTTTTGGGGGGGGGGGGGGGGGGTTGGGGTTTTTTTGGCTGTTTTTTTTTTTTTTTTTTTTTACAAGACATTACCTTAGTTACAGACGAATTTGCATTAATGAAGCTTCCAAAGAAGGTATAATGACTAATTTTGCAGTTTATCTAGGAGACGTAGAACCTCTGTCCTATACCATGGAGGCCATGGGTTTCATACCCTGCACTGATGATAGGCTACAGTCCTATCCAGTTTGGAATAATTGGCTGTAAAATATGGGGCTGTATTTGTACATTACACCAGGTCCTGGAGGTACAAATTATCCCAGGTATATAAAAACAGATTTGCATGACTCCATCCATTTTCCCAGAGTACATTTTTTTTCCTCTTTTCCTTTATAGTATGGATTTGTAAGGGGAGTGAGATTCTCTTTTACGAGCTGTGCTTTGCATGGGTTTAGAGGGGTGTTTTTGGTTACTTTATGTTCTGATAATTTTATGACTTGTCTGGTTATAGTTATATATATTTATGATATGTGATCCTATCATTGACTCGAGTTAAACAATATAAAAAGATGGGGGATATTTAAAGCCTCCATCATACCATTTCAGGGCACTTTGTTATAAGGCAACTATTATAAAGAAGCTGCCAATTGTACCACAATGGACCAAAAATGCACATGACCCTTTAGGAACAAAGTGCACCACAGTGTGCTGCTACTGGAAAGTGTTTAAACGCCAGTAAATGCACATACTGCAAAACAGGAGGCTGAACGGGCACTTAAAGAGACCCTGCCATCAGCTTTTAAAATGTAACTATTTCAAGAAGAGCCAGTTCCCTACCATAAACACTTCCCTTTTTGCATGTCAAAACCCTCTCTTCTTCTTGGAGTATGATGATCTGTGCTGTCCCAGCTCCTCCACCCCACCTACATAACCTTTTATGTAGCAAATGGAATTACATAGTTAGTCTGAACTTTTGTCGTTTTGCAGTTAACCATTTAAAAAAAAAAAAAAAAAGGTTATAATCCTACACCCACAATTGATCCAGAGGAATGCAAAAAACCCCAACAAAGCATGATCCAATTTGCTCCTGCAGGGGAAAATAATTCCTTCCTGATTCCCCGAAAAGCAGTCAGATATTCCCTGGATCAACTTTACCTATAAATGTTAGTATCCAGTTATATTCTCTGTATCTAAGAAAGAATCCAGGACTTTTTTTTAAAGCAATCCTGTGAGCTGGCCAGAACCAACTCTTGAGGGAGTCTATTCCACATTTTCACAGCTCTCACTGTGAAGACACCTTTCCATGTTTGGAGATTAAATCTCTTTTCCTCTAGACGTAAAGAGTGCCCCCTTGTCCTCTGTGATGACCTCAGGGTGATTAACTCTACACTGAGTTCACTATATGAACCACTGATGTATTTATACATGGAGATCATATCCCCCCTTATGTATTATACATGGAGATCATATCCCCCCTTATGTATTATACATGGAGATCATATCCCCCCCTTATGTATTATACATGGAGATCATATCCCCCCCTTATGTATTACACATGGAGATCATATCCCCCCTTAATCTCTTCTCAAGAGAGAATAAATTCAGTTCCTCTAATCTTTCCTCATAGCTGAGCTCCTCCATGCCTCTTATCAGTTTGGTTGCCCTTCTCTGTACTTCCTCCAGTTCCCCAATGTTCTTTTTGTGAATTGGTGCCCAAAACTGAACTGCATATTCCAGATGAGGTCTTACTAATGATTTGTACCGGGGGAAATTATATCCCTCTCTCTGCAGTCTATACCTCTTTTAATACAAGAGAGGATTTTGCTCGCTTTAGAACCCGCAGCTTGGCATTGCATGCCATTATTAAGCTTGTGATCTACCAGAACCCCCAGATCCTTCTCCACCATTGACCCCCCCCCTAGCATGTATGATGCATGCATATTCTTAGCCCCCAAGTGCATAACCTTACCTTTATCAACATTAAACCTCATTTTCCACATAGTTGCCCAATTACACAGAGCATTGAGGTCGCCTTGTAAGTTGGAGACATCCTGTAAGGACGTTATTTCACGGCACAGCTTGGTGTCATCTGCAAAGACTGAAATGAATTCTATAGTGTCACTTGAGTGACAGCTCTGATTCAAGAGGGCAGCATCCAGCAGCAGTCTCAGAAATTTTGGATGTTCAAACAAGAAGCTTTTACAGATAACATAACTAAAATGTTAAATTCACATATAATCTTATGGGAAGATGAAATGGATGGTCTGATGATGGGGGGGGGGGGCTTTTCAAAAGCTGCCCCAGTAAGGAGGAGGAGGAGAAATCATTTCCAGCAATAAAGTTGCTGCTTTCTTAGTTTGCCACACAAATTAACACAATTGTAATTAAACATTATTAATGCGACTTATTTACAGCATTTCTAAAACATACAAATAGAGGGGAAAAAAATGCAGTCCAATTTTTTACACTTTTAAATTAATATTTCACATTCCTTTATAAAATACATAGCATGTACAGGAACAAATTAATCCCACATTGTAATTTACAATATCCATTTCCAGAACTGATCACAGCATTTTCACAGTTTCCTCCTCTTGTATCTGATGATCGGGTTGTTGGGTGTATGGATCATTGTCGTGTAGTTGATCGTAGGGAAATAGCCATCCACCAGCTCATACTCGTACAACCGGAGCATTGTTGACCAAATTGTTTTAATCTGGACGTAAGCGAAATTCTCCCCAATACACCGATGACGACCTGCAAAACAGGAAATATTAGATAAACAAAATTTGATGTGGATGTAACATTGCTTTTGTTGCTAAAGTGATATTAAAGGCAATTAAAGAAAACACACGTTATACTTACCTGCTCTATGCAGAGTTTTGCACAGAGCAGCCCCAATCCTCCTCTTCTTAGGTCCCCAACCGATGCTTCTGGCCCCTGCTGAGTGCCCCCCAAGCAAGCATCTTTGGGGGCATCCAAGCAGGCTCACTCTTGAGCCACTGCTATACTCACCCATACACATACACCCCACCCCCACTGGCTGTGATTGACATTGGCTCCCGCTGCTGTCTCAATGAGAGGGGACTTAGGTAAGTATTAGGGGAGGGTAGGGAGATGCTGCACACAGAAACTTTTTTTTTTTTTTTTTTTTTAATCTTCTTCCATAGAATAAATAAAAAACCTTGAGCCTTTCCAACCACTTAAATGTGATTTCTATAATAGCATTGGTGTCTGTCATAGGCTAACCCTGAGCTATCATGCCAGGAAGCTGTCAAAGCAGACAGCCAATCATAGGCAGCAGGGGCATTCCCCTGGCCTACAGCTGACAAAAGACATGATCCTTGCCTATGTGCAGCTGCAGCACAGAGAATACATTTGCCACTGATGGTTAGTGGTTGGCAGCTTTCTGGCTGTATAGCTCAGGCGGGTTCACACTTGTGTCTGCACACACCTAAGCTCATCCCTAGTCATCCTATGAAGATGCATAATAAAACTAAAGTCTGTAGCTGTACAGGCTCCTCTTCTATATTGACGGTGCTTACTTTTATTTCACTGCACACTGTGAGCTGCTTACAGTCTGCACCAAAAGCTGCAGCGACTCCGAGCCCTCCTCATTTCCTGGCTGGAGGATATCCAGCATCATCTAGCACACGGGTGTCACACTGGCAGCCCTTCAGCTGTTGCCAAACTACTAAGTCCCATGAGGCATTGCAAGATTGACGTTACAAGCATGACTCCCAAAGGCATGATGGGACTTGTAGTTTTGCAACAGCTGGAGAACCGCCAGTTTGACACCCCTGAATTTAGTACTTTCCTCCCCCGCCTTACTATACCTGGCCCGCCCCTTTCATTCACCGGATTTCAGTTTTTTTCATTATGTAGAGGCTCAGCATTACCAAAGGTGGCTTGCATGCAAATAGAATGTCTAAAAACACTCACTGCCCCGGATGGGACCCTTGAGAGAAGTACAGAGACAGGGTGCTGTGATGTTTTCAGGAAGATATATACAGCACCCTGCCAGCCCCTCCCACCAGCCATGGTTGGCCTGCGCTGCATAGAGAAGCACAGAAACCCAATGATGACATCACTGGGTCTAAAATACAGTAGGCAATGATAAATGGAAAGGCTTTATTTAAAAACATATTGATGGGGGGGGGGGGGTGGTAAAAGGAAGACAGGATGTCAGCAGACTTTGCTTCAGATTTAACAACTCCAAATTGGAGTCGAAGGGTATTTTAAATACATTAAGAATTGGTGGTAGCTGGATAAAATCTTGTTATTGCAGCTTGATGAATCTTGCCCTATGGTTTTTTTTCCTCATGATCTTTTCACCTAGTCTTCATTTATGGGATACATTTGAGAAACAGGACCTGTCTAGTTATAAACCAGAGCTGGGTTATGTTTGGAAGCTTTGGGACGCACACAAGAGTAAAACCCAGTTGGTGAATTTTGTTCTGCCTGACAGATATGTTGCCAAGTCCCATTAATGCCATTTTAGAAAAAGTGGGCCTCGTGCTGCTTCTAGACTGTAGAGGTTCAGGCTTTTGAGCTCGATGTCTAAGGATTGTATGGGCAGACTCAATGGACCACTTTATCCGCTGTCACTTTTCTATGTTTTTATGGATTTTACTGCCCTGGAAGCAGGAGACTGACTCTTCTGAAGTTAGCAGATACACAGTAAGAACCTTAGGATGTCCCTCCCAACAAATAGGAAAAGACCAGATTTTACAATACATTTGGCCACTGTATACTCTACAGGTTGGCAACTAACATCTTTTAAATGCCTCACTCATCCTTCTGAATCACTGCTGGTTTAGTTGCACAACAGAGAAACAAAACAGATTGTGTCCATGTGTTGTCTCCTCCCTGTCCACATTAGCAGGAAACAGCTAAAGTGCCCCCTGGAGGATGCCAAACGATCACATTTTCCCGTGGAAGGAATGGTGGGGTGCACAAGTATGTGTTTCTGGGTATAAATGTGTCTATGATTTTGCATTCTATGGTGCAGGTTTTAGAGTTATTCATACAAAGCCATTTCACATTACCGGCTCCAAAAGGAACATATGCAAACTTCTCTCCAGCAGCAGGATTCTCATGAAGGTATCGGTCAGGGTTGAAGTCTGTGTTTTTTTTCCCAGGTGTCCTTCAGCCGATGGTTTACGGTGGGAGAAACGCAGACCTGGTGACCTGGTGGGATGTCATACCCGGCCACAGTCTAAAACAAATTTAGATTTTTTTTTGTTACACAGAACAATGTTCCAGAAGTAGAAATATTACTCAGAATCCTCCTGATCACTGACCTGTGGTGTCCTGGCCATTCTCATCATAGTCATTATAGGTGGTCTTAATCTCAGGGTTTCTTTGATGCAGCGGTCCAGGACCTGCAAGTCTTTAAGCTGGAAGTAGACACAAATAACATGTAAGGCAGCTTTTCTCAAACATTTTAGCATGAAGGAACTCATGAAATATCTTTCCAAGCTCAGGGAACCCCTACTATTACAGTGGGGAAAATAATTATTTGATCCCCTGCAGATTTTGTAGAGGAGTGTTAAATCACACTTCTCTGTCTGGCAATCCGATGGACGTGTCTGGGTTTGGTGGTTGCCAGGAGAACGGTATTTGCCTGACCGCATTGTGCCAAGTGTAAAGTTTGGTGGAGGCGGGATTATGGTGTGGGGTGGTCTCTCAGGAGTTGGGCTTGGCCCCCTAGTTCCAGTGAAGGGAACTCTTAAGGCATCAGCATACCAAGACATTTTGGACAATTTTATGCTCCCAACTTTGTGGGAAGAGTTTGGGGATGGCCCCTTCCTGTTCCAACATGACTGCACACCAGTGCACAAAGCAAGGTCTATAAAGACATGGATGAGTGAGTTTAGGGTGGAGGAACTTGACTGGCCTGCACAGAGTCCTGACCTCAACCCCATAGAACACTTTTAGGATGAATTAGAGCGGAGACTGTGAGCCAGGTCTTCTCGTCCGACATCAGTGCCTGACCTCACAAATACACTTCTGGAAGAATGGTCAAACCTTCCCATAGACACCCTCCTAAACCTTGTGGCCGGCCTTCCCAGAAGAGTTGAAGCTGTTATAGCTGCAAAGGGCGGGGCCAACTCAATATTGAACCCTACAGACTAAGACTGGGATGCCATTAAAGTTCATGAACGTGTAAAGGCAGGCGTCCCAATACATTTGACTTGTGATTCACACACCTCTTACACATTGTACAGTCAGGTTGATACTCCTATTTCTGTTTCAATAGCTTTTATTAAGTTTTCAAAAAGAAACAGAACACAATTCAAAGCCGAAATAAAAAAAAGGGGTACCAAAACCAGACCTTCGGGTACGTCATAGAAGACAATTACGCAGGTTCACAAATAGTGTGGGTGGAAAGACAAGCTCACCAAGTACACAGGAACAATCAAACGTGATAACTGAATACAGCCATCCAGATCAGTTGTTTGCCTAATTTGACCCAAAGTATAGTAGCCGCCCTCTTTGGGTATCACTTATAAGTACTTCAAAACTGGAGTACTTTTTATTTTAAGCCAGGTATCTATAATACATAATTAAATCTATAGTCATCTCCAAATCCTCCTGTCTCCTCAAATGTACAATAGAACTGGCAGCATCATTTCTATCCAATGAACATGAAGGTGACACAGGAAGCTATAAAGCTGAATTTGGAAATTGGAGCCTCACCTGGCCACCTATTCAGCCTGGCAGAGATGTGTGAATCATAAGACTGCCTCAACAGAACTAACTTAGAATGGAAGCTCTTTGATAGCAGGGACTGATGACTAGTATGTAAGTCACTGAGTAAAATTGTTTGTGTGACATAAATGCCTGTAATAATGTGACAGATGAAAGTTCCTCACCTGGTCGTAGTTCAGGGGTGGGAAGTCTTCTCCACAAATGGCCTTCTGCTCTGCAAAGCACTGATCCTGGATAGACTTGTGTTTGGCGAGGAAGAATCCCATCCAGGCGCTGGTGGTGGAAGACGTGTGCTGTCCTGCCAGTAAGAGACCAATGAGCATTCCGGATAGCTCATCATCCGTCAGAGAGGTACCATCCCTGCCAAACACAAAGCAACACGTATTAAAAGAAATCTCTGCTTAGAGACAAGGGGGCTGCTGACTTTTCCATGACGGATACTTCCTGTGTCACCAAATAAGTATGCCATCAGGAGTTCTCATTTCATTGGCTGCTTCCTTGTCCTGCATCTGTCACATAGTACTGAAGCTAGTGGATCAGCATGATAACCAAATTAAAAAAAAAAAAAAAAAAAAAAAAAAACCTGAAATGGCTGCCTGCACATTTCTTTACTCACAGGTCTCCTTTAAAGAAAGATGAACATAGTAGTACATAGAGTGCAGAAAGGAGACAGTGCGTCCTAACTGGGGACACAGAATTTAACCACCTTCCGCCCACCCTATAGTACAATGACAGGTGCAAGGTAGTTCTCTCGTTCTGAAAGGACATCATATGACGTCCTACCATTCTCACTGCGCATGCGCGGCTCAGGGGGAGCGCACAGTGTGGCGATCACCGGTCCGCTGTGTCCCTTGGACACAGCGATCACGGAAAGAGCCGAAAATGTTGGCTCGGTCATGTGATCAGCTGTGTCCAATCACAGCTGATCACATTTAAACACGGAAAAGCCAGTTATCGGCATTTCTCTCCTCTCGAGCTGTCGCGCTGACAGCTCGAGAGGAGAGCCGGTAAATCCGCGGAGGGGACATGTGCACTGATCATCAGGGCACTGATGATCAGTGTGGCCCCAGAAGTGCCACCTGTCAGTGCTCATCAGTGCTACATCAATGCCACATATCGGTGCATACCAGTGCACATCAATGCCACATATCAGTGCCCATCTGAGCTGCCTTTCAATGTCACCCATCAGTACCAGTCAGTGCCACCTATCAATGCCAATCAGTGCCAGTCAGTGTTTGCCGATCAGTGCCAGTGCCGCCTATCAGCCGCCTAACAGTGCCATGTATCAGTGCTGCCTTTCAGTGCCCATCAGTGATGCCTGTCAATGCCCATCAGTGCAACATACCAGTGCCTCCTCATCAGTCTCCATCAGTGCCCATCACTGCAGCCTCATTAGCGCACATCAGTGAAGGAGAAAAATCACTTATTTACAAAATTGTATAACAAAAACTAAGAAAAAACTTTTTTTTTTCAAAATTTTCAGTGGTTTTTGGTTTGTTTAAGAAAAAAGAAAAAATCCCAGAGGTGATTAAATACCACCAAAAGAAAGCTCTATCAGTCTCAAAAAAATTATAACAATTTCATATGGGTACAATGTTGCATGACCGCGCAATTGTCATTCAAAGTGCGACAGCGCTGAAAGGTGGAAATTGGGCAGGAAGGGGGTATAAGTGCCCTGTAGGCTAGTGGTTAAGCAGAAAAGGATGACAGACACCCAAACCTGCATTCGTTTTGTCAAAATGTCACACAACCATTTGCTTGTAGTTTGACATTCAGTTCTATAGTTTTTCTACCCAGGGCCTCAGAGAGAACCCAGCTCATGTTGTGCACTAAGTGTCCATTTGATGTCTTTGGACAGAACACAATAAGCCCCATAATATTCGGATGAAAGCAGCATTAGCGGTGTTGTTCCAAAGTGCAGAGTAGGTAATAAATACCATAACAGAAGTTGTACAGATCCCTGCTAATGAGGCAGATCTCCAGGATTTAGATATCGAAAATGAATACCTTAAACATCTCTACCTTGTTATAGAAAAAAAAAATTGCAGAAAGGTGGAGGTGGATTTCTGGGGCATGGTTTACAAACTGCACTTCAGAAAACACACTTGTGTGGACAGTGTGGTCCTAAATGGCTGTCATTGGAAAGCTCAGCGCACAGAGACAATGAAACTGGTGCTGTACCTTGTGATTGCTGTGAACCACAATAAAGGAAGGGCCCCTTCCTCTGTTGTGAATAGGCTAAAGCAGGGGTGTCCAAACTATGGCCCTCCAGCTGTTGAAGTACTACAAGTCCCATCATGCCTATGGGTGTCTTGCCTGTGGATGTCAGAGTCTTGCAAGGCCTCATGGGACTTGCAGTTCCTCAACACCTGGAGGGCCATAGTTTGGACACCCCTGGGCTAAAGGGTTGTAAAAACACGGGAGATTGAAGGGGGGGGGGGGGGGGGGGGGGGGGGGGGGGAGACTACAGTGGTGTAAAGTGCCACTGACCACCAACGATTATGGGATTTTTTGGGGAGGGGGCCAAAGTGCCACACTGATTTTGGAATCATGTTTTTATAGGTTAAATCAGGGTTTGTCCAGACGTTGCTATGGGTTCCTTGAGCAATTTCTACCTCTCAGTTCCCCCTGATACCATTGATATTTTTAGCTATCTATAAAAGGGCTAAGTCTTCCCAATGTCAACACATGTAAGAAGCGTTCTTCTCACTGGCCATCACACTAATGTATCATGAGTTGTAGATAGATATTACTGTAACGGGTTCTCTGAGACCGGGAAATTATTTCAAGGGTTATTCTGCATTGAAAAGGTTGGGAAAAGCTGGGTTAAATTATGAAAAGGAAAAAAGTTAAATGCAGGCAATCACTGAACTTCTGGTCTTTTTTCCTTTATACAGTAAAAAAAAAAAAACTAATTATATAAAATTCATCTAAGTATAGTATTGTATGACCAAGTAATTGTCAGTCAAACTATCACAGCACTGAAAATTGCCTGGGACTGACGGGGGGTATATACAGCCTTGTACTTTTCTGGGTAATATTACATTTCAGAGGTGGAGCACATTTCATGTGAGATGTACAATGGCTTGTAATAATTATCTCTAAAGATCCCCCATTAACAGCAAGTTGAGCCAATCCAATCCATGAAACAGACTAGGAGCAACCAATTAGCTTCAATGGGACCCTTTTTCCTGGGAAGGTTGGCAAATAAAAGAAGGAACATGTAGTCGTAATGGAGCAGAGAGATTTTAAAAGGAGTGTGACACTGAACTCAGCATCAACGATTTCACACAGGTTGAGGTTGATAGAGCTGAAGAAAAACCTTACTTGTAGGTTGCATCTATTAATGTCTGCAGCATGTCGTCCTCCCTTTCCTCGGACTGGCGGCGTTTCTGGATCACCTGGTAGAAGATTTTCTTGATCTCAAGGTGTGCTCGGTCTCGGCGTCTGTAAAATAAAAATAAAAAAAATTTGCATCTTCCGTATGGGGAACTCAAAACACCACACAAGATGTCCTTCAACTTTGATGAAGTATCATTAACCCCTTCATGCCTAAGGGTAAAGCAAATCTTAATGCCTAAGCACAATTTTGCAATTTTGGCATGTGTTAGTAAAACTGTACATATCATCACAACTACTTTGTACATCCAGGTGAATTATACCGCGTTTTTTTCAGGACAATTTGGGCTTTTTCATGTGGTGGTAAATGGTAATGGATATCTCCTGATTTTTTTTTTTTTTTTTTTTTTTTATCAAAAGGAAAACTGGACCAAAATAGTAAAAAAAATATTTTTTTCATGTTATTACCATAACCTACCCCCAAAAAAACAATCCAAAATAAATTTTACAGCTCTTGACAATTGCAGTGATATATGTGTATGTTATTTGTACCCGTAGTACAGCCCTGAAACAATAGTGCACATTTTTTTTTTACTGGTACCAAATTAAAAAAAAAAAAAAAAAAAAAAGCCACATATCATCTGAAAATTTTAAAGTAGGCTAGCACGAGCATCTGTTGGGCAGTAGGTGGATTCACAGCTACAAGAGGGAGGGATGTCAGGGTGGGCACCACCAGTCTGTTGAATTTCACATGTAATCCATATAGCAGGCAAAGGTGTCTGCAGAATTACGAGCAGGGAAAACATGTCACCACCCTCCTTAAAGAGAATCTGTGGCCGGGCTAAGGACACTCAAGTATTGGCATACTACTAAACAGTAAAAGAGCTTTAAAAACAATCCCTCTCTAACCTGTGTAGCTGCAGGCACCTAGGAGATACTCCTCCTCAAATCTCCTTCAGCAGTGCAGCTCTCCCTGCCCAGCAGTGATGCAGCAGCTCAGCTCCTCCTACCAGCAGTTATTTAGCAGCTCAGCTCCCTCTGCTGCCCCCTTCTAGCACTGATTCAGTAGCCCAGCTCCTCCTGCTTCCACTCCCAGCAGTGACTCAGCAGCTCAGCTCCCTCTGCTGCCCCCTCCTAGCACTGATTCAGTAGCTCAGCTCCTCCTACCAGCAGTTATTTAGCAGCTCAGCTCCCTCTGCTGCCCCCTCCTAGCACTGATTCAGTAGCTCAGCTCCTCCTACCAGCAGTTATTTAGCAGCTCAGCTCCCTCTGCTGCCCCCTTCTAGCACTGATTCAGTAGCCCAGCTCCCCCTGCTTCCACTCCCAGCAGTAACTCAGCAACTCAGCTCCTGCTACCTTGACAGCCTTCCAATCTCTAACATAAAAAAATCAGAAGGAAAAAAGGAAGCCGGGGGAGCAATCTGCTGAGTAACTGCTAGGAGGGGGAAGCAGAGCTGCCAAGAATGACGTCAGCACTGTAGCTGTGGACAATGAGGATGAATTGCTTCAAAGCCCATTTACTGCCCCATAAATCAATACATGAATGTCCACAGGTTCATTTTAAGCTATGCAGCCATCCAGTACAACAGGGTTAGGAATCCCAGGAATGATACGCATTACAAAAAAATTGTAACAAAGCAGGTCCCACATATATCAAATATCTGTCTGGTAATAAGATGTGCATTTGCCGCCATTTATAATTCTTACCTAAAGCTGGGCAGTGGCAGCCAGCCAGGGAGGAGCCAGGCTGCGTGCGTGAAGCCTCCATCCAGATCAGCGTACAGCTGGGCCACCCGTTCATCTAACATACTGCGGATCTCCTTCCCATGTAGACACCGGCTGGCGGTCAGGATGATCAGCTCTGACAGAGCCTCAAACAGATCTACAGAGATCAGATGTATGGTCAGTATCAGGCAACTCCTACCGATAATACAGAATGGTGTGTTCATTAAACCTACTGCAGACAATGGGCAGTAAATGATGGGATCATTAGATCTATCAATCTTCTGCATCACCAACCCCTTCCTGATCTGCGAGTGCCCTCCCAATTCATCGAGGCAGAATGAAGAGCTGAGAGGTGTGCGAGGGAAAAGGGAACACCAGTGTGGGGGAAGGGTTAGAACCCCTGTTAGATTTCCACCCCTGGCTGCTTTGTGGTTACAGAGACATCCCTCACTCCCTGGCCAAACAACAGTGGTCACCAGGAGAGAAACTAGGGAGAAATCCCCTATCCCCACAGAATAGAATGTAAGAGGAAACCAACCCCCAAACAGGACTGAGAAGTGTCCTTACTTCTGACACCGCTATCTCCCCAACGCTTGAAGTATTCAATGGTCTCCTCCTCAATCATTCTCACGTGGGTTTTGAAATGAGCGATGTTCAGACCAGTTTTAAACATTTTCTTCTGTTCCAAAAAGATCTACAAATGAAGACAAAGAATACATCATTCAACCTGGTTGGCATTTTTGCCTTGCAGCACTGAGGCCCTGGCTTTAATCCCACCAAAAACACTCTCTGCATTACGCTTTGTCTGATTTCACTTTATTTGTGTGGGATGCATCTGACAACCTTAACCTGTCCGGCCCAGGTCGATAAACGGCTAGGCGGGAGCGCTGCCGATGAGGGTGGACGTTTCTAAACATCCCCCGCATCCATTGCCTGTGTGCACTCCCTGGGATCGTGCGGCACCCACGGTGTCCTCCAGACACAGATCGCTGTACGGGACCTCTGTGTGAGGTCTTGATTCATGTGATCACTGATTGGCCAATCAGTGATCACATGAACAGTAGTAGACAAGATGTCACTTCCTGACATCATTGCTTACTACTAGTGAATATTGTGAATGATCACCGAGGTCACATGGTACAAGGCTATTCACAACAGCCTTGTACCATGTGACAAGCTGTGACCAATCACAGCACTCACAGTATTTCACAATGGCTGCATTCTTGAGAGGATAAATGATTGCTTTTACAGCCTTTATGGGTATAAAAGCAATCAGTGTATAAAAAGAAAAAAAAAAAAATCTTTATCACCCCCCACAAAGAGTACAGTGTCACTTTACTACAGTATCACTATGGTGATACTGTACTGCTAGGGTGACAGTATGTAAAAAAAAATATAAAAAAATAAAATATAAAAAAATGTTTTTTAAAATTATAGAAAAAAAAAAAAAAAAAAAACACTTTTTTTAAATGTTTGGACTTTTTAATTTATATAGCAAAAAATAAAAATCCCAGTGGTGAATAAATACCACCAAAATCAAGTTTTATCTGTCTCAAAAAAATTAGGGGAGAGGGGGGGGGGGGAGAGGGGGGGGGGGGGGGGGGGGAGGGGAGAGAGGAGGGGGGGGAGAGAGGAGGAGGGGGGGGGGGAGCCTCTTCTGGGGCATGGCCTGATGTTTGTATATACTGTATATTGGGGAATACACTGATTTATATAAAAATACATCATGTAACTCTCTCCACTTATCACACCCAGCAGCGGAGATGGCTGCATATTAGACCAGACAGTCCATTTATAAACTGGTCATCTTACCGGGTTTGGGACATCGTAAGCGACTCCTTTCCCGAACACAGGGGTGGTCAGACGGGAATACACATCCTCAGCATTCAGGTCTTCATTCTTGCTGTTAAAGAGCAACGCAGCAGCATCACTGCCTACTAGATAGGTGAAGGTTTTTCCCACCATTGTGAAACTGAAGACGGGTCCGTGCTACAAAGCAGGAAATCAGAGTACATGCCGGGTCACTTTTATAAAACAGACACATCACGTGGTAAGTTGGCACAAGAATTCTCCATTAATCTTCCCGACACGGCAAAGGGAATCTAAAATTTTGGGTTGTCTTCAGAACAGGAGGAGATAGGAAGTCTTCCAAAGGACATTTGTTCTGGTGACAACTAAGAGGGGACCTTCTCTCACTTCATGCAGTGTCAACATGTCTTCCTGTTCTGTAAAGGTCCCATTGATTCTGTTGCATTTTAACACATGCATTGCAACATGCTAGAACACATATCAAAGTTCCCCATAAATAAAAGCATTGTCCATTATCCATCTCAGGGCCACAGTGCATTCTGAAATATACAATACATCTGTTGTTGCCTATATTTTCATACTTTAGGCGGCCCACAGGAGTCAGTAACAGAGCATGAAAATGCAAGTAACACATTTTGATACATCGGTAAGTAGTATTACCAACCCTTGGTCAATGGCTGTTAACTATCTGATCTAAAAATGCTAGCATGGTTAAAGCTACAAAATAAAAGGGAAGAAGGATTTGGCTTTTTAATAAGATAAGATAGAAGTCCACCAAGTCCAGCTTTTTATAGCTCATTCAATTTTAGTCCAGAGGAAGAAAGAGTCCATAGGAAGGCAGACTAAATTTTGCATACAGGAGAAAAAGAAATTCCATATTTCCCCCCAGGGTGAGTCCGTTCAATTCCCTGGATTGAAATATTGTTCTCCTAGCATAATTATAACTTCAACTGGATTAGATTATTGTCTTTGCTATTCTTCGTTCTCCTTGCTGGAGAGGAAGCTGTGCCTGAGGCCCTGCAGTGCAAGTATCTCCCTGCTTCGTTCATTCTGCGATCTGTGCTTCCTACATTTCTCATGCGGCTTCTTAAGTACTCCTCCCTCTAGTCATCAAGGGGAAAGATCTTTGGTTACATTATTTCTAGAAGTCTGACTTTTGGCAAAGGTCTTAGAGGTCCAATCCTCACCCATCATGAAAAACCAGTTCAGAATGGGGATGTTTACAGTCAGACCAAGTATCTAGCTATATTTATAAACACACATACATATATAAGAGCGCCTAATTATGTACTGTCTGAATAGTAATGTAATCTAATGTATAAAGAGATCACCGACTCACCCGCTCATAAGCTTTTTCTAGAAATTCAATCGGACTCTTCCATGGGGGGGGGGGGGGGGGGGGGGGGGGGGTGGGGGGGGGGTAAAAAGCAAAAGCAATGGCATGTCCCAGGAAGGGAATCGGAGATGAAATGTATGGTGGATATTTCTACACAGGACATAAAAAAAATACATCAGCCAAAGTTTGTTGCCGATTCAAAAGGAATGTTTTGAAAAACCATATTCTTGCCCCATAACTATGGCAGCAACACGACCCCCCTGGAAATCCTAGAAAATGGTATATGGACACTTGACCCAGCCCCAAAATTACTGACACCTCTGCATCAGACCACAACTCTTCCAGCATTCCCGAGGTCAATAAAGGAACTCTCTCCAACCAATCTGTTCACTTTACTTGCTGCACACAAAAACACAGCTATCTGCACCACTGATCTTCACACTCTACTGCTCCCACAGGGGGTGCCGGGCATCAGACACACCTGGAAGGGTCTCAGATCTAATAAGGGAGGAGTCACTGCATGGAAACTCACTGAGCAGCACAGCTGAAAAGGATACCATTATCCACGTGTGAAAAGTGGACTAGAGCTCCATCTGCTGGCTGGATAGAAGACATTATGCTGCAAGGTTTAAATCCTTCCCTCTGGCTGTCTGCATCAAACATATATGTAAGCACAGAGGTGGGCTATATTCCATGCGGTCACATGTACAGGTAGCGGTTTTGTGTCGGGAGCATGCGTAATTGTGTGCCTCCAGCACTATGACCACACGGTCACCGACCGCTCCCGATTACAGAGTGCCATTTGGGAGCCATTAGGACGTGATCTCAATGCCGTGATCACTGTGACTGCCAATGACCGCGATCACATGATCGGGAAACCTATGAAGTGTGTTGGGTACTTGTCTGTTAATTCACCGGATATATATATATATATATATATATATATATATATATATATATATATATATATATATACACACACACACACACACACACATACATATATACATACATACAGTATATATATATTTTTTTTATATATTTAAATAAACATATAATATATATATAAATCCGGTGAATTAACAGACAAGCACCGTGTGTGGATCTGGGATCCAGTGCAGCCGTATTCATGGATCACGTTCCGATCACTGCTGGTTGTGGTCAGTGTGAGAGGAGAGCAGAGTCCACTTTCTCCTGCAGTCCATATTACTGATTATTATGGACCTCCTCTTGGTTCCGGGGTCAGGCTGTCTTACCTTAAGGGATTCATACTTTACTGTCTACACAGCATGCAGTGTTGGGGCACATGGTTCCTGAGCAGTAGACGACCCCCCCAATCTATCATATCCAATGTACCCGATTATAGATTTACCAAGTTCTCTGCAACCCTCCATGCAGTATAAACAGGTCCTTCCCATAGACAACCCCGGAGATGACAGTTCCAGCACTATAAACGTACCACATTATCGGCTTCCACCGTGCTGAGATGCTTGAAGGCCAGCTTGGACAGATAGGCCAGGGTGAGGAGGAAGGTGCAGGGAAGGAGCACCTTCGAAGCCAAGCTGTCTCCCACAGCCTCCTCCAGCAGGGTGCCCCCCGCCTGCCATAGACTCACCAGCATGGTCACCTGCACAAGAAAGAACACGTGGTCACTAGAACATAGAGAAGCAGCAAATCAAGTGCCTCTGTAGTGTCATTTTATTGGATGGCTCTTCTGTATATGGCAGCCTCCATGAGTCTGGGGGGTGGGGAACATTGCATCACACAATACAGAGCCCTGCACTTTGCATCACACAATGCTGACCTCCGCACTCTGCGTCACTTACTACTGACATCTGAATTACTGACCTCTGTACTCTGCGTCACTTACTGATCCCTGCATCACACACACCAACATACTGCTGACCCCTGCATTCATCACTACTTACTCCTGACCCCTGCACTACTTACTCCTCATCTCTGCACCACTTACTACTGACCCCACATGACCCCTGCACTACTTACTCCTGACCTCTCATGACCCCTGCACCACTTACTCCTGACCTCTCATGACCCCTGCACCACTTACTCCTGACCTCTCATGACCCCTGCACCACTTACTCCTGACCCCTCATGACCCCTGCACCACTTACTCCTGACCCCTCATGACCCCTGCACCACTTACTCCTGACCCCTGCACTACTTACTCCTGACCTCTCATGACCCCTGCACTACTTACTCCTGACCTCTCATGACCCCTGCACCACTTACTCCTGACCCCTGCACTACTTACTCCTGACCTCTCATGACCACTGCACCACTTACTCCTGACCCCTGCACTACTTACTCCTGACCTCTCATGACCCCTGCACCACTTACTCCTGACCTCTCATGACCCCTGCACCACTTACTCCTGACCCCGGCACTACTTACCCCTGACCTCTCATGACCCCTGCACCACTTACTCCTGACCTCTCATGACCCCTGCACCACTTACTCCTGATCCCTGCACTACTTACTCCTGACCTCTCATGACCCCTGCACCACTTACTCCTGACCTCTCATGACCCCTGCACCACTTACTCCTGACCTCTCATGACCCCTGCACTACTTACTCCTGACCTCTCATGACCCCTGCACTACTTACTCCTGACCTCTCATGACCCCTGCACCACTTACTCCTGACCTCTCATGACCCCTGCGCCACTTACTCCTGACCTCTCATGACCCCTGCACTACTTACTCCTGACCTCTCATGACCCCTGCACCACTTACTCCTGACCTCTCATGACCCCTGCACTACTTACTCCTGACCTCTCATGACCCCTGCACTACTTACTCCTGACCTCTCATGACCCCTGTGCCACTTACTCCTGACCCCTGCACCACTTATTCCTGACCCCTGCACCACTTACTCCTGACCCCTGCACCACTCACTCTTTCCTCACTTTGAATGGGCCTTGCTAGGTCATCTCTTTTAAAAATAAAAAGCGCGCTGCCCCTGGTGATATTTGGTCCCTTCCATGTTGTTCAAGTCTCCTCCACTCCAGTGTTGCCTTCTCCTTCATTAGACTCTTCAGCATTCGAGCAGCTGCTTGGATGGACGGTATAGGGATGGATGGTGGAGCAGTTGCAGGGATGGATGGTATAGGAGGTGCAGGGATGGATGGACGGTGGAGGAGGTGCAGGGATGGATGGACGGTGGAGGAGGTGCAGGGATGGATGGATGGACGGTGGTGGAGGTGCAGGGATGGATGGATGGACGGTGGTGGAGGTGCAGGGATGGATGGATGGACGGTGGTGGAGGTGCAGGGATGGATGGATGGACTGTGGTGGAGGTGCAGGGATGGATGGATGGACGGTGGTGGAGGTGCAGGGATGGATGGATGGACGGTGGTGGAGGTGCAGGGATGGATGATGGATGGACGGTGGTGGAGGTGCAGGGATGGATGGATGGATGGACGGTGGTGGAGGTGCAGGGATGGATGGATGGACGGTGGAGGAGGTGCAGGGATGGATGGATGGACGGTGGAGGAGGTGCAGGGATGGATGGACGGACGGTGGAGGAGGTGCAGGATGGATGGACGGACGGTGGAGGAGGTGCAGGGATGGATGGACGGACGGTGGAGGAGGTGCAGGGATGGATGGGCGGACGGTGGAGGAGGTGCAGGGATGGATGGGCGGACGGTGGAGGAGGTGCAGGGATGGATGGACGGTGGAGGAGGTGCAGGGATAGATGGATGGATGGACGGTGGAGGAGGTGCAGGGAAGGATGGATGGATGGACAGTGGAGGTGCAGGGAAGGATGGTGTAGGAGGTGCAGGGATGGATGGACAGTGGAGGTGCAGGGATGGATGGTGTAGGAGGTGCAGGGATGGATGGATGGATGGTGGAGGAGGAGGTGCAGGGAGGGATGGATGGATAGACGGTGGAGGGTGGTGCAGGGAGGGATGGATGGATGGACGGTGGAGGTGGTGCAGGGAGGGATGGATGGATGGACGGTGGAGGTGGTGCAGGGAGGGATGGATGGATGGACGGTGGAGGTGTGCAGGGAGGGATGGATGGACGGTGGAGGTGGTGCAGGGAGGGATGGATGGATGGACGGTGGAGGTGGTGCAGGAGGGATGGATGGATGGACGGTGGAGGTGGTGCAGGGAGGGATGGATGGATGGACGGTGGAGGTGGTGCAGGGAGGGATGGATGGATGGACGGTGGATTGGGGAGGGATGGACGGTGGTGGTGCAGGAGGGATGGATGGACAGTGGAGGTACAGGGAGGGATGGATGGACAGTGGAGGTACAGGGAGGGATGGATGGATGGATAGTGGAGGAGGTGCAGGGATGGATGGACGGTGGAGGTGGTGCAGGGATGGAGGGATGGATGGATGGACGGTGGAGGTGGTGCAGGGAGGGATGGACGGTGGAGGTGCAGGGAGGAGGGGATGGATGGACGGTGGAGGTGCAGGGAGGGAGGGATGGATGGACGGTGGAGGTGCAGGGAGGGAGGGATGGATGGACGGTGGAGGTGCAGGGACGGAGGGATGGATGGACGGTGGAGGTGCAGGGACGGAGGGAGGGATGGACGGTGGAGGTGCAGGGACGGAGGGAGGGATGGACGGTGGAGGTGCAGGGACGGAGGGATGGATGGACGGTGGAGGTGCAGGGACGGAGGGATGGATGGACGGTGGAGGTGCAGGGACGGAGGGATGGATGGACGGTGGAGGTGCAGGGAGGGAGGGAGGGATGGATGGATGGTGGTGCAGGGAGGGATGGATGGATGAACGGTGGAGGTCCGGAGCCCCCAGACATACACTGTCAGTCCCTGTCACCTGCACAGGCTAATCTCTATGACAGAATGTCGCCCACACACGCCCGTGTCCCCCTACCTGCACAGCTGTCCGGAGAGGTGATCAGGATCCCGTCCTTGCAGTGAGTGTGGGGGGTGTCTTCCACTCCGTCCTCTTTTGCAGTCAGGGTGACAGAGGGCGGAACGGGGCGTGTCCTGGTCCAGGAGCTGTCAGGCCGGATACCTCGTACAGGGAGCGATACGGAGCCCGCCTGTCCTCAGCAGAGCCCCGGACAGGACACAGCGCCCTCCCCCCCGGTCCGACACCCGCCAACCACACCCCAGAACACAGCCAGACCGCTAATGGGCGGGACCAGAGTGGCCAGTGTGGGTGGGGTCAGAGACCGGCAGCTCTGTGCTGTTCCATGCCGTCGCGCTGCCATTGGCTGGCACTCACTGAACTGATGTCTGACTATGTGACGTCACGCTCTGTCGGTCTTATCCGGGGACTGCCCACCCACCTGTGTACTCACGTACCAGAGAGAGGACCGTGCTTAAAGGGGCACACGGCTCTCCCTCCAGAAACTCACTCTCGTGTTTTACTTCAATTTTTATATCCTAACAAAGAAAAAAGTCCGGGAGATCCGTGTCATGTTCTGTCTGCCGGTGCCAGGCAGCTGGAATTCAAATGCAGCCAAAAACAGCATCCCCGCTGTGCCGGCTGTGCGCCCAGGAGGAGCTGATTCCAATTGCAGTTCCACTTCCAGCTTCTAAGCGTCGCTGTCCGCTCTTCGTCTTGTTTTCGACAGCGAGCCGTCCAGTCCTCTGTCCGCGCGCATGCGCCTCTCATCCTTGTCGACTTGTGGAGCTGTGCAGAGTGTTGCTTCGGAGGGAAGAGAGTCTGGCGCGCGTGAAGGAGAGAAATGGCGGGAAGTATGAAGGACAACCTGGCCGGGGAGCCCGGAGGAGAGGTGAGGAGCCGCTGTGTGTGATGGCGGGAAAACCATGACAGGGAATGTTCCCGGATGTGGATGATGTGTGACAGGAATGCTATGACAGTACGGGATGTCCGTGTTCCGGTAATGGGGACGGCGGGCTGGACTTGTAGTTCTTTTTGTTCCATCTGCTGGTTGGTTGTTTGCTAGAACATTAGAGCCCCGAACATGTAACGCCCGGAGAATACAAGGCGGGTTCCTTCCATGTTTTTTTAACCACTTGCCTACCGGTACCGGCAGGGGCGGCCCTGGGGTTGGTGACACCCGGTGCCGGAACACTTGGTGACACCCTATGCAGATAGAACATAATGATGGGACTCCGATCCATCATCTCCCCAATCCGCGGATCCGACCCGTCCTGCGACTTACCTGTCCGCGGAGCCGGTGCGGCCCCCCCCCCCCCCCCCCCCGGATGTCACTCCCCCCCCCCCCCCCCCCCCCCCCGGGATGTCACTGCCTACCGGACACTCCCACCCCCGGCATGTCACTGCCTACCGGACATTCCCCCCTTCCCGGCATGTCACTGCCTACCGGACATTCCCTCCCCCCCCGGCATGTCACTGCCTACCGGACATTCCCCCCCCCCCCCCCGGCAATGTCACTGTCCACCGGACATTCCCCCCCCCGGCATGTCACTGCCTACCGGACATTCCCCCCCCCCCATGTCACTGCCCCGGACACTCCCCCCCCCGGGATGTCACTGCCTACCGGACACCCCCCCCCCGGCATGTCACTGCTACCGGGACATTCCCCCCCCCCCGGCATGTCACTGCCTACCGGACATTCCCCCCCCCCCCGCATGTCACTGCCTACCGACATTCCCCCCCCCCGCATGTCACTGCCTACCGGACATTCCCCCCCC